TTAAATATGTTCAGGGACCATTTTCATCTCCAGAATTAAGGATTATTTTGATGTTACATCATTGCCTTTTCTCTTTTACTTTCCTTTTTAGTTTTATTTTAGGATTTCCTATTTTTAATGTTCATACAGAGATTTCTTTAACTGAAATACCGAATAGTTTCTTTGGTGTGAAAAACTACAATAGTACACAGGATCCTAATGAGATAATTAATAATGTGAAATAGGAAGTAAAGGGCTAAAGGTGTAGGGAAAGTGGGAAGGGTGGGGGAAAGGTAATAAGGGAGAGGAAAAAAATATGAGAAACTGAAAAGATTGAAATAAAGTCTTTGTAAATGGGGAGGGGAGGAGGGGGTGAAGGGAGGGCAGGGACAAGGGGAAAAATGAGAATCAAGACCTATTATGTAAAGGTACAGAATCCCAATGATGATTGTAATTGTATTGTATACCTAGATTGTACCAATAACCTCAATAAAAAGAAAAAAAAAGAATAGGAAAAATTTATTGAAAGAAAGATAGCTTCTGTTTAAGAGAGACAGAAGGGGGGCCAGAAAATGGGTTGCAAGCACACCCAGCTTTTCAAAGATGTTTTATATGGCAAAGCCATGAGGTGAAGTGGGTACAAAGCGGGACAAAACTGTAAGACCCAATGGAAAATTACAAGATGATGTCAGGAACGTGTTGAGTCCTCCTTGAGACAAAACCTTTACCTTAAGAAGTAATTCCTCAGGGAGTGCCAATTAACCATTTCCTTTCTTCTTTAATGGAATGGTTCTATTGCCAATACTTGGAAATTAAGTTTTTTTTTTCAATACTGGGGATTGAACCCAGAGCCTCTGTACTGAGCTATATTCCTGCCCCTTTTCTAATTTTTCATTTTGAGATGGAGTCTCACAATGTTACTAAATTACCCAAAATGACTTGACCTTATGATCTTCTTGCCTCATACTCCCAGAGTACTGAGACTCCAGATATGTGCCATTATTCCAAGCTACTTGAAGTCTTTATCAAGTGCTCTGCCTATATTTCTGCTGATTTTTTTTTTCAATCAGGGATCTAACTCAGGACCTTTCACCTGCAAGGCAGGTGTGGCACCACTGAGCTAAATCCCCAGCCCTTTTTGCTGACATTTTTAACAAATCTTTAACAGCAACAAATCTTTTTGACCAAACCCCAATTCCTTTCATATTTTTTCATTAAAAATTTATTTCAGTGGCAGGGGATTTAGCTCAGTGGTTCTACCTCCTGCCTTGCAAACACAAAGACCTGAGTTCAATCCCCGGTACCAAAAAAAAATTTTTTTTTATTTCAGTTCTTCCTCACTCTCCAAATGGAGTATCAAGTTAAGACTGAGCTGTAACATTTAGGATGAAATTCTCCCTTCCCACTGAAGAGCCATTCCCACAAGTGGACAGAGAAGTAGCAAGTCAGACAAAGCCACAGTCTCTGAGGATTGCGTTCTGACAGTCCTCAACCTACACGAAGGGGCTATCGATAGCAGAGTGACAGGAGCCCCACAAGACCACCTTAGGTTGACATGAGTAAGAGGGTATAGGCTACAGCAGCAATAGACCACACATTTATCCTTGTTTTCAGTGTTTAAATCAAGCACATACACATGCACCACATGATGTTTACTCTGCTGCCAAACATAAACCTGTGGCTCTGATTTCACAATTTAAGTAGCAGATGCCATGTGGTATCATGGCTTGTGGTTTATCCTCCTTTGTCCAGTTGCTGGTTGTTTTGTCCACCTTGAGATGATAGGACACTCACTGTCTTCTGTGTGGCACCTGGAGCAAGGTAGGAGTGTGAGAAGACAACTCTCCTCTTTGATGCTCTGTACTACAAATACTTCTTAATGTTACTGGTAATCATTTTCACAGCCAAGGAGGCAAGGCTGCTGCATAGCTTAAGGGTCAAGGTCTCCATTTCCATGACAGGATTCTGCAGGAGAAAGAGACAAGAATAAAATTATGAATAATTACGTTTTAGATTCACAGACTACTGCTGCATCGTATATACTGCCACATTATATATAAAAATTTCAATTTCTAGATTGTTATTAAATCTCATTTGTTCTTTGTAATAAAAAACAGTAACTCTGTGGATCATGATTAGAAGCTATGCTTTTTCTTCATCCACTGTTGTTCTGAGTTTGCTTCTCTACGAGGAACAGTGGCTTGCTCACTTTGTCTCCTCCGTTCATCCTGCAGGTACCTGGCTCATCTCAGGACATTTACTCCTGCTGCTCCAATCTCCTATCTCCCTCTTTTTACCCCTGCTCCATGATTACATCCTGGAGAGTTCTTTGCCTTCAGGACCTGGTTAGTATTGGCAGTAAAAGTTGTGGGCAGGAGATTTAGGGGAGAATACGCAGGTCTCTTCCTCCTGCCTTCCTTCCTTCCTTCCTTCCCACCTCCTTCCTTCCCTCTCCTTTCCAACCAAGGACATAAATGCTCCCCTGGCACTCCCCTCTGGTGTCTTATCCTTGTTACTTGTTTGTTTTCATTGTCTTCTTCCTTTACTAATACTCTTCATTAAACTCTGTTAGCTCACCTTTCTGACTAATTATCCTTTATATGTTTTTTGACGGGAGCCTGAGCAATGTGGATGTGCATAAAATTTACGAAAATTCATAGAATATTCTTCCACACAGCTCTCCTGCAGGCTGCATCCTCCATCATCAGCACCAGAGGGTCTTCTTGGCCGAGCCCTCCCCACGGCATTCCCGCCATCTTTAGTGCCAGAGGGCCTTCTCTGCTGTGCCCTCTCCTGCAGGCTGCGTTCTGACATCTTCAGCACCAGAGGGTCTTCTCAGCCAGGCCCTCCCCTGCTGGCACAGCTGCCGCCATCTTCAGTGCCAGAAAGGTAGCCGCGGGGGCACTCCTGAACCCCCGCAACCTTCCCCTTCACGCTTTTAGACCTCCTGATTGTACCAGTCTTTGGACCTACTCTGTAAAGGCAGAGGTGGTCATAAAGAGTATTTTCTGGCACTTTCAACTTTGAACATCTTTAAAGAAGTGGTGGGGGAAACTTATAGTAGAACTCAGTGGAGTTCAGCCCTTAGGAGGTTGGGGAACTCAGTCTGGGCCTTGGAGCCCAAACTCAGTCTGCTTTGTGGGGTTCTGCCACCAGCTAGCTGAGGTCAGGGGACTTGGCTCTGCAAATGGCAGCACATATTGTATATTATGACAGCAGTGATATAGTCTGAAAGAGGCCCTTTAAACTCATTTTTGTTTCTTTCTTTTTTTCATCCCACTCTGCAAATTCTTTTTTTTTTTCTTTTTGTTTTCTTTCTCTAACTCAGCCTCTTACTCCACTATAGTATCCCTCATCTCTGTTTTTGTTTCTGCTATTGTCCTAATTTAACAATTTCCTGATGATTGTCTGGTCATTCTACATCTTTTGGCTTCATATGAAACCATCTCTAATTCTTATACTTATCTACTTCTCTCCTTAACTTTGTTTAAAGCCCCCATTGTAAATGGTAAATATCCTTATTGAAAAGTTTATTTACTGTAAGCATATTTTGGATTGTTTCTTGATCTTAATTAAATTTACATGGTTTGAAGGTGATAGATTGATGACTACCATAAGTGGTCAATTTGCAAATTGTGCTTCATTATATTGTGGCTGATTGTATCAATTAGAATAAAGGATTGTGATTGATTCAATGAGCTGTTTTCTTCAGTATGATGAAAATGAGAATGTCTATGAGTCATTAGAGACCCATGGGCTTCAGCCCAACTATATCAGGAAGATTTAAGTAATAATCTAAAGGTTAAACTAAGGATAACCCAACAACAATAGTAAAAATGAGAAAATGCTTAAGCAAGATACAGGGACAGACTTCCAGTTCACCAATGGCAAAGAGTGGGGCAAATGAGGATGAAAAGTCTGATAGTGAATCATCAGGACACCCTGAACTGAAAGCACAGAAAGTAACAAAACTGATCAATCAGGCTCTAGAGAAATATAAAACCGAAGTAATTTCCCAGATAATCATAGAGATGACAAGCAAAATGAAACTTATAATTCATGACTCTAGAACAGAAACTGAGAGGAAAATAGATGAGCTCAGGACCATGATAGAAACCATGAATGTCCAGCATAAGAAATAATTGGAAACAATAAATGCCCAATACAAGAAAGAAATGGAATCCATAGGACAGATTCAAACAGATATCCAGGAGATTAAAAAGTCCATTGAGAGTGTTCACAAAAGAATAAAAGAGTCTGAAGATACAATCTCAGACATAGAAGCTAAAATTGCAGTCAGTGACTGTGAAAAGAGAGGTCTCTTAAAAACATTAGGAGATCATGAGAAATTGATACAACAACTCTTAGATGATACTAAGAAGAATAACATAAGATTGATAGGAATTCAAGAAATAGTAGGAGAAAATGTAAATGACTTTAAAAAGCTGTTCACAGAATTAATTACAGAAAACTTCCTAAATAGAGGGGAAGAATTTGACATTCAGATAACTGAGGCATATAGGACTCCAACTAGCTGTGATAAAAAAAAAAATCTACACCTAGATATCTAATAATCAAGATCCCAAAAACCTAACAGAAGAACAAAATACTACAAGCTGTAAGAGACAAGAAACAAATTACATGCAAAGGAAAGCCTATCAGAATTACAGCAGACTTTGCAATACAAACCCTTAGGTTAAGGAGAGCCTAGAATGAGATATTTCAAATACTAAAAGAAAACAACCTCCAACCTAGACTGACGTATCCTGCAAAACTCTCTTTCAAAATGGATTGGAAAATAAGACACTTCCATGACAAAGAACACCTGAGAAACTACATGAATACCAAACCAGCACTACAAGCAATTCTAAACAAGATCCTAGAAAAAGACAGTGAAGCCAACAGAGCAAATCAAATAGGTAAGCCAAGAAACTAAAAGGAGAAGGCTAAAAAAAAAGGAAAAATATGATAATAATGTTAGTACATATCAATTATAACCATCAATGTTAATGGCCTCAATTCACCAATCAAGAGAAATGGACCAGCGGAATGGATTAAGAAGCAAAATCCAATAATATGTTGTATACAAGACGCGTCTAGTGTAAAAAGAAGCCCATAGACTGAAAGTGAAAGGACAGTAAACTTCTTCATTTAACAGGAGCTCCCCCCCGCCAAAAAAAGCAGGGGTAGCAATCTTATTCACAGACAAAATAAGTTTCAAACTTAAACTGATCGAAAGAGACAAAGAAGCTCACTACATCCTTGTGAAGGGAACCATTCAAGAGGAAGAGATAACAAATAATTTATTTTTAATTTATTGAGTATATCAGAAAGTATATATGCTTTTTTCCCTCTTTTCTTCTTTTTTTCCTTTTTCTTTTTCTTCCTCTGATGCTGGGGATTAAACTCAGCACATTGTTCTGGTTAGGCAGATGCAGCACTATTGAGCTAAATCTCAGGCTTTACATTTCATATTTTTAAAATTTATCAATACATTAACCCTTGTCTCTATATGTTGGTCTACCAAATTGGTGAGTTATTATGGTTCTCATTTTCTTTGCTTTTTTATTTGAGAATTTATGAAATCTGTATATATGAGTAGTATGAAAAGTATTAAGGCCCATATATCATTTTCCTATTTCATCTCTGCTTTCTACAAACTTCTTTTCTGTCACTACAGCTTGTTTGGTTGGAAATTTGTTAAGATAAATGTTGTTATGTTATCAATATATCTTTGTACCTATTTTCTACTGATGATGAATATTAATTTTTAAGTAAATTTTATTATAACTATACTTAATCATGAATATCATTTAGTATCTGATACGTATTACAAATTCTCCAACTCCTTCAAAGATGATATTTATATTTTTTTCAAATTATACAATCACCAACATTCCACACATCACTGCACTATTTTATTATACCTAAGTATATATTATATTGTAGAAAATATGCATTGTGTATATGTGTGGGGTGTATGTTTTTACATATATGTGTGCACTATTAAATGAGAAACATGGACATGAGTGTGGTAGGATTGTGCACATTTGGCATATTGATAGTTTCTCTGTCAACCTCATGATTTCTTTAAATTACATGCTTGACTTATAGTCATTCATTTGGGAAGAATATCACATATCTATTAGTGTTAAATTCTATCATTATGCTTATAAAATATAATAAAAGTAAGTATGGGATATAATAAAATAGAAACAGAAAATCTGAGCTTAAAATGTGAATTTTTGTTGCTTTTGGATTTCAAATATAAGTATATTTTTCTCTGTGGAAATTTTTCTCTGTGGAAGTTTTGTTAGAAAGTGTAATTGATACAATCAACAAGTATATGATATTTATCAATTAATTAAACCAAGGAGTTTATAAATCATAAAATTTTGAGGACAGTTTCTCAACTATAATATGTAACTTTGTTTTATTTATAATTAAATTATTTCAAAAATATTATAAGAAAATGAGCAAGAACATAATGTTTGAAGAACATATCAAACTAATGTATTCCAATTAGTCTGTGTTACATAAATTCTTGTTTATTTCATATCCTTTTTTTGCTGTCGTTACATATGTATATTTGAAATTTTTATTTAGTATCTTCATTTCTTCTTATCATGTATTTTTGCAATCTTTAATAAAAAAAGAATATTCTTCCACACATACATAATTTAGAAAAAATATTTAGCTAACAATTCAGAGATAAAAGCTATCTCAAAAGTCAGTCTTTTCAGAAGACTGGCACCTGGAATCAGCTCTGCAATCAGCTCTGGTAGCTGGTGTGTGAAGCATCCACCATTAATCCTCCACCCCCTCAACCCAGGGTGCTTGCTTTGGTCCAAGAAAACAACCCTGGAATCTCACTCTGCACTATAAGCAAGAAACACTTTGGAGCCAGAAGACTCCACATTCATACCTGATTTGGGTGGCTCTAGTTCAGCACATAGACACACTTG